TGCAGGGCAGCTGGCAAACATGATGAAGAACCAAATCGCCAAGGCCTCCTCTCTCGGGTACCACCACCACACCCCAGCTCCCCTCATCTGTGGTCAGAGGAACAGTGAGGAGCTGTTAATGGATGCAGAAGGGACACTGGAGTGACAATGTTGAGTGACGGTGAAACACAGGCCCATCTGATGCTCAAGTCCCTGTAAGACGGAACAGAGCTATTGGCCACCAACTCCTTCACAAATGGGGACCCTTCTGCTACAAATCCTTGGGCCAATGATAAAGGGACAATGACACAACTGCTGTCAGAGGCTGGGACACTGCTTTCCACAGACTCAGCACTGGGGACCCTCAGCAAGTTGGCACCTGTCCCCATCCATAGATGTTGAAACCAAGGGGCATTCTGAGAGCCACACAGCAGGTGTTTGGCAGAGCTGACCTTGAGTCCAGGGCCGTTCCTTGTCCTACGCTGCTGCTCCTTGCCCATCGCTGTCCCAGGAACATCTTGGCCAGCACTGACCAGCAGGCTAACAGCACCTGTGTGGAGCCCCATCAAGACGGGGTACTTGAAAATCCACACAGCAACTGAAAAGGGATTGCTTGTAATTCTTCCACCCTGTGACAGGTGGACAGTGATGGCTCTTCCTGATACAAAAAGGGAAACTGAGGCTCAGAGAAGATGTCTCCCATCTAATCCACAGTGTGAGAGTGGGAACCAGGCCCTTCCATCCAGTGCCTTCTGGGAATCCGGTGTCCCCTCTGCCCCACCTGGAGACCCGCTGGATTCCTGCCCTCCGGCAATGAGTCACCTCCTTATATAGCCTGCTGTTCCTTTTCTTCCTTTGCAGCAGCCTCACTCAGGGTCTGTCCTCAAACTGGAGACCACGCCCTTCCTGTGGGTCACCTCCGTGGCCCCACCAACTACCATTGTACCTGGCATGGTAAGAGCTCAGGAAATGCCAAAGGAGTGAATGAATGAATGACTCTATAGAAGGTTAGGTCCTCCGGGACTTTTCCACTAGGTCCTCGGTCCTTCGGAGGACAGTTCTCAGTGCCCTCTGTGGGCAGGCCTAGATGAGAGTTCCGCCTCGTGTCTCAGTGCCTGGTTCTGCCATCCCCAAGTATGGAGGGAAAATCCATGGATGTGGACAGACACAGAAGCAGATGACGAGGGGAAGATGGATTGGAAGGTGGAGGAGATGCTGCCCTTGCTGGCAGTGGCTTTAAACTTTATTTTTTCTCCCTGCAGCAGTTGCTTGAACTCTCGAGATGGGTGGAGCCAGGAGAGGTAAGAGCCTCCATCATTGGTCCTTTCCGGCAGCCTGCCATGGGCCCACCTGGG